CTGTCAAGCCAGACCCGGCTCTCCAGCCGATGCCCACGTGCTGCTTGTGAGGGCGGGAATCGTGGAGTCAAGGCAAAGACACCGACTAACATCCCAGCCTTTGGCGTCAGGCCCGACACCGATTTGCTGCTAGAAGCGGGGGATTGTGGGCGACAAACTCTCCGAGTATCAGGCTGGCGGGTGGGTGAAAACTGCCGCTCGCGGCCACGATTGCGTTAGAAACGTGGCTGCGAAGTGCTATGTTCCTAGACGCCCAAGGCCCGTAGATACAGAGCGCCCCGCACATCCCGTCTGATTGTAGCCCCTCTGACAACTGCCCCTGGACTGACCGTGTCTGCGCGTTTCTCTCTCGGGCTCCCTCCGCCCCGCGGGCACTGGCACAGAGCGCAGGGCAGAAGGGACCGCTGGCACCACTCAGCGTGACTTCCTGCAGAGCGCAGGCCGCGGGGATTCTGACTCCCGCCATTTTGTTTCAGCTACCCCAGACTAACACGGCTACATTTCTATCACTGTTTTGCTTCAGTGAAAGTGCCCGATCTGCAATGCGAGCCGGGCTGTGGGAACAGGGCTCCCGCCCCCACGGGACTGGCAGAGGCAGCCAGCGAGGTCTGCCCCGCAGGCCCAGGGGAAGCAAAGGGGGGAACGTTGCTTGGTAATGAAAAGATTTAAAATCTCCCCGCGGGTTTGTATTTCACCCACCGAAACTCGTTCCCGGTTCTGTGCTCAGCGCCCAGTTGTTCGTGTCTCTGCTGCCCCCGCGTGGCGGCCGCGGGTTCTGCAGCCTGGGTTTTTGCAGGAGCATCACTAGGTTTCGTGTCGCTGTGTCTCTCGCACAGTAATAGCGGGCGGTGTCCTCGGGCTTCAGGCCGGTCATTTGCAGGTGCAGCAGGTTGTTGGGGTTGTCCCTGGAGATGGTGAATCGGCCTTTGACTGAGTCTGCGTAGAGCTGTGGGCTCCCATCGCTGTAAATATACGCGACCCACTCCAGCCCCTTCCCGGGAGCCTGCCGGCTGAAGGTGAAGCCGGAGGCTTTGCAGGAGAGGCGCAGAGAGTCTCCGGGCTTCTTCACATCCCCTCCGGACTCCACCAACTGCACCTGGGACCGGCCACCTGGGAACAAAGAGGCGATACAAACATTAGTGTCTCTCCAGCGTATTTAGCTAGAAAATACCTGGCAAAGCTGCCACCACGAACATTATATAGACCCAAAATTTCATTTTCGCGGTTGCTGAGGGATAGAGCTGGCTGGTACCTGAACAGACACCGGGGGCTGCGGGGTGTCTCTCCGGGTGCAGCCTAGGAAGAGAGAGACACCGATATAAGCAGGCACCGGTCCTGTCACCGCCATTTGCATATTCCCCTCCTTATCAGAGACACAAACGCCTTCCCTGAACGAGCAGAGTCACTGCCATGGAGTGTCCGGCAGAAGGAGTCTCCTCCCGCCTCCCGGTGTGTTTGTGCAGCGCCTGGCACAGCGCGGGGGACCCGATGGGCTCTTACAGCGCTGAGAGGAGAAGGAGAAATGACGTCACTTAGCTCGCCATTCACGTCTAGGAGTTGCCTGGGATTCGGTTGTGAGGAAAAGAACAATTTCATTGGTGTTAGCGGGGTTTGGCTCAGGCAGTTTGTGTGTGGGGGGGAGGGGTTTACGTGTTGTGTTGCCCGGGCAACACAGAAGCAGGTTTAGCGGCCCCTGCCGGAGCTCGGAGGAGACGCCCGGTCCATAGAACGCTCCCCAGGCAAACCCCGCTCGGTGTCTCGGGGCGCGCAGGCGCCTTTCCCCGCTCGGCGCATGTCAGAGCCTGTGTCACTGAGCTGCAGCTTTCTGTGCCCAGACAGCCGGACACTGCAGGGGCTGGAAGTCGGGGGGAAAAGGCTGCACGTGGGCATTTGCAGGAGTTGTCAGACCCAGAAAGTAGAACAGTTTTAAAGCGGTTTCTCAGAGGGCACCATGGCTTCCTGCCTAGTAAACAGAGGTGCTGGATTCAAGTCCCAGAGGTGCCTTGTTATAGGCCAGACATGGGGAACCTAAGGCCACCCTACTCCACACCCCGCAGAGATTTACCCTAGTGTGAGCCAGAGCCCGCCTACCCCCCATCCACAGCCAGCCAGTGTGCGCTCTGCCGGCCCCTTAGAGAAATGGCTCCAGACACCAATACCTCGAGTTCAGCAAAGCTTTTGATACGGTCCCCCACAATATTTTTGCCAACACTTTAAAGAACTATTGATTGAATAATGGACTGTAAGGTCCATAGAAAGCTAGGTAGTATGTCGGCCGACTGGTAGTGATCAAGCCTTCATGTCAGGTTGGCCGTTGGTTTCTGGCTGAGGGCCCCAAGGATCAGTTCTAAGACCTTTTTGTTCAACATCTTTATTAATGACCTGGATGAGGTAATGGATTCCACCCTCAGCAAGTTTGCAGATGACACTAAGCTAGGGGGAGAGGTAGATACACTAGAGGGCAGAGATAGGGTCTAGAGTGGCCTGGACAGATTAGAGGGTTGGGCCAAAAGAAATCTGATGAGGTTCAACAAGGACAAATGTAGAATCCTGCACTTGGGACAGAAGAATCCCAAGAATTGTTACAGGCTGGGGACCGAATGGCTAAGTAGTAGTTCTGCAGAAAAGGACCTGGTGATTACAGTGGATGAGAAGCTGGATATGAGTCCACAAGGTGCCCTTGTAGCCAAGAAGGCTAATGGCATATTGGGGTGTATTAGGAGGCGCATTGCCAGCAGATCTAGAGAAGTGATTATTCCCCTTTATTTGGCTCTGGTGAGCCCAGATCTAGAGTATTGTGTCCTGTTCTGCTCCCCTCCCTCATATAAAGGATGTTGCGGCATTGCAGATTAGGGGGCTGGAGCTCATGTGGAGAAACTGAGGGATTCGTGTTTGTTTAGTGTTCAGAAGAGAAGGGGGGATTTGATTACAGCCTTCAGCTTCCTGAAGGGAGGTTTCAAAGAGAATGGAGAAAGGCTGTTCTCAGTGGGGGCAGATGGCAGAAATGGAGCAATGGTCTCAGGTTACTTCGGGGGGAGGTCTATGTTGGATATTAGGAAAATCTCGTTACTAGGAGGGTGGGGAAGAACTGGGATGGGTTACCTAGGGAGGTGGTTTAGTCTCCATCACTAGAGATTTTTAAGTTTGGTCTTGACAAAACTCTACCTGGGTTGATTTAGTTGGCATTGGTCCTGCTTTGGGCAGGGGGCTGGACTTGGTGACCTCCTGAGTTCTCTTCCAGCTCTATGGTTCTATGACCGTTTCCCACATCAGGTCTGGCCTTGATGCCCAGTGCCCCGCCCACCTCACTGGCTCCCCTGACCCTGAGCAGCGCAGCTGCAAACTTTATCAACACAAAACTCTACCTGGGTTGATTTAGTTGGCATTGGTCCTGCTTTGGGCAGGGGGCTGGACTTGGTGACCTCCTGAGTTCTCTTCCAGCTCTATGGTTCTATGACCGTTTCCCACATCAGGTCTGGCCTTGATGCCCAGTGCCCCGCCCACCTCACTGGCTCCCCTGACCCTGAGCAGCGCAGCTGCAAACTTTATCAACCCCGGTCCCGTTAAGGTACCCAGAGAGGCGCTGGGCTCTGGGCCCGCCCCGAAAAGGGGAGGCGGACACGT